TTCCCTAGGGCTTAATGAGACTCTGCTCCAATTTCTTCAGTATCTCCCAGCCCTCAAGTCTTAGGGCTCTGTCTTTAATAAGCTATGTACGTATATGTGTTTCCTGCTGTCTGGTCCCTGTGATAGATGTAAATCCTATTATCTAACTTTTACTGAAAATCCCAGAGAGGAAGAGAGCGAGTCATCTTCAGCATCTCTTTTAGTACCTGGTACTATGTAGAGTTAAACTCAACTCTGTCACAGACTGTCTCGGGACAGGACAGTGTTAGAAGCCTCTGTGGAAGAGAATGTGGATGTGGAGAGAGAAAGTGGAGTCTGAGGGGTTCGGAGATTCCATACAGTCTGGCTAACGAATTCCAACTTTCTAAATTTTTTCCATATGGAAAAGCTCAAACAGATGGCACTTAATGCACTGAGGATATACACATTTATTTAGATCAATCCAAACCAGACGCTGTGCTGAAGCTTCTTAAGGATACAGTCTCACCACAGTTGGGCTTCCTGGAGGCACAGAAAAGAGAATTTGTTGTGGCCATAACAGTGAACAGCCAGAGCACATCCAGGGTGCTAAAACAACCCCTTTGCATGGTCCCTGGGTCCTGTGCTATGTATGAATTCTCTACTTACCCCGCTTCATTGCTGGGCATTGGCTGGGAGAGAGGTAAAAGGACAATTAACACTAACAAGGCTAACACCAACCCAACATAACTCTCTGACAGGGAGAGAATTGAGGGATGGCGAGAGAACCGTCTTTGCAAGCCATCTGGCAGAGAGAGCTCTCCTGAGAAGTCTGTACTCTTAATGTGTACCTTACGGTTTTCATTTGCTATTTATCAATGATAGGCTTAAATAAATGGCTTCTGGGATTGAATTCATTCTCAATTTTTATCAGCCAGTAGCTGTAAGTCAGAGGAGACATTGCTAACCAGTTCTCTTTGATTCTCTCATGAGCTTCTTTATCACCTCACCCATTGGTTTGTGGACAACGATTCTGCAGCAAATGATTTAGTCTCCGAAGGTGCTACAAAATTCTAAATAATAATTTGAGTTGCCCTCTGCCAGTGACATGCTGCTTGGAACCACATACCCACATGTCCAATGATTATTGACATGTAATGATAATGATGGTTATCTCCTCTTGGAGGAGAAGGAATCCATAAACTTCAAAGTAAAAAATAGGCAATGAATCTGCGTTTCACCATGCTTATGATACTGAGGTAGAAACACTTAATTGACAAGAGTCGCTTCCCCCTCCTTTCCACGCTGCTGCCAAGCGGTGGTGGTGGAGAGCCTCGCCCATCCTCCACTCCTTACTGTTCCCTCGACATCTTTTCTCATAGCGCCTGCCTCGCTCCCTCCCCACCCCCTTTACAATTAGGTAGATACTATCACTCTTCTTCAGAGGACCATTAGGTTTAATTCCTACCATGGAGTTGAGGAGTACAGATAGATAGAGGGTGTGATAAAAGTAGACTTCATCTATGGTAAATTCCCTCCATGGGGATGATGATATTAACTTACAAAACAATGGTTACAGGAAAGGTTGTCACCAGTGCATGCAGGGTTGAAAGGTGCGGGAATGTATGTTTCCCAGTCTCAACAACACTAGCCGTAAACATTACAGTCTTACTCCGTTCAGACACCCTGTTTCCCTTTCCTTACCTTCCTCAGAGTTGCCCTTGTCCTCTTAGGGAGCCTCAATGAGGAGCTACAAGAATTCAGACATTTCTTAATATTAATATCTCAGAAATCTCTGAGAAACCTTTCTAAAGTTAAACTTATTGGAGCGACATTGGTTAGTAAAATTATATAGGTTTCAAGTATAAAATTCAATAATATGTCATATGTATATTGCATTGTATGTTCACCCTCAGAGTTAAATTTCATTCTTTCAACATATATTTGACCCCCTTTATGCTTTCCTATCCTCCCCTTCCTCTCTGGTAACCACTAAACTGTTGTCTGTGTCTATGCGTTGGGAAACCTTCTTTCAGAGTACTGGGAAGGGATATACTTCTCTGGTCTTTTGGGAGTCCATGGTGCTAATGAGGAGTCTGTGCGTAGAGAAGAACAGGTCATGTAATGACTCATTCATTCTTGATTCATGCTACACACGCTTAGAGAGAGCCCACCGTATGTCCGAACCTGGGCTGAATGCTAGCTGGTGGGGGTAGGGGGAGGAGAAGGCGGCAAAGGCAAATAAAACTGTCCTTGCCGTCACAGTGCTCATAGTTTAATGGGGAAACAGATCAGTAAATAGACCATTATAAAAACAAAGTGCTAAATGCAATGATGGAGATCTGAACGAGGTGACAGGAATGGATAAGAGAATGAATACTTTAAAAGAGGTAGAGAGGATGTGCATTTGTCTTTGGTTTGTCTAAAAGCTCAAAAAACAGCTGCAGCTTTCCTAGACTGAGTCAGAAGCAGACTATAGTTTAAAGAAAAATGATCTGGATGAGGACCAGGAGACATGGGCTCTTTCTACCATAGTGACAACTCCTCAGTTAACAGTAGAAACCTTGGGTAAACCCTTCACCTACCTCCCTGTGCTTCAGGTTCCTCCTTTGCAAAATATAAATAGCAATTCTTCCTATATTCCAGAATTAGGATGGAGAGAAAGAAATGAGATAGTGGAAAATAAAAATGGCTCCTCAAATACATCCTGTTGATGACAGTGATGAGTGGGCCTGAAATGGGAATCAAACCAAACCCTTCTCCATCTAGGCTTGTATCTCTGCCCTGACTTTTCCACCTTTGGAGAGAGGAGATGACGCACCTTAAGGCATGAATTCTGCCCTTACCTTTCACATCCACCCGACAGTCCACCGACGCCTCCCCCAGGGAGTTAACTGCCTTGCAAGTGTAGATGCCCCCATCAAAGGGACCAGGCTTGCGGATTTCTAGCGAGCAGATTCCCAGATTTGTGAGGGCTCTGTACTTGGGGTCACCTTGGATATCCATCTTGTTCTTCAGCCAAATGATCTTTGGCTGGAAGATAAAGTCAAAGGGGCAACAGGGATAATAAGAAACAATTGTTCTGTCGGTGCTTAGTCTCTGGGACTCTTTGCCTACAAGGCTTGGGGACACACCAGCCAGAGAAGCAGGAGTAGGGTGCTTTAAGAACAGATGGCGCAGGGATCTAAAAGAGCTAACAGCCTTCCAGATAGCTAGCTCCCTGAACCTTCTATTTGGGAAGGGGTTCCCCTTCCAGTACCTTCAGCAGCCTTCACGCTTCTTCTTTTGGTTGAAAAGAGCACCTGAAACCTCGCCTTGTTCACCAGATATTCCTGACTAGAAGAAAGGTGATAACTTCTATTCTGCCCTGCTCACGCAGCCCCTTCATGGATCAGAAGCACCGGGCGTCAGGGGCTCCTCTTTGTTGTATATACATTATTGAATCATTCATGTTCTATTTCCACCGTTGGCTTGTTCCCTCTGGTTAGAAAAGAGTTTCTAGAGTGGAATTATTGATATTCTTTCTGAGATATTATTTCCACATAGTTTGGTCCAGGACTAACACACAAAACGTATTTGATAAAGGCTGTTTTATGCCATGTGTGGAGAGCAGTGACTAGATTGTAAATAAACAGCCTTTTTTCAGGGGCGTGGCCTAAGGCTCAACTCTAGGCAGCTCATATGTGTGTGGCCCTGATCAGATGAGGCTTGGGTGAGTAAGGAGAAACCAGCGGCATTCCATCACCCTTGCTGGAGAAATGACTTTGAAGCTCATGCCCGATTGTCAGCTGGTCACAAAGTGACATCTTTATATATGAGGGACAAACATTAAAGAGAAAACTGGGAGCATTATCCACATTAGCCTATCTTAGATTCTGAGTGCCCTCACTGTTCCTACATAACCTGCTGTGGAGGAGGCAGATGATGGTGATGGGAACAAACGTTTTGACGAGAATGCTCTTTGACATAACTAAGGTCAGATCAGGAGTAGGAAGCCGCACGGCACAGCCACCCCATAGAACTCCCTGCTTACCTTGGGAGAGGCGCGGACACAGCAGAAGAGCTGAGTATCGTAGCCGGTGACTGTAGTGCAGTCTGCCAGAGGCTGGGTGAACTTTGGGGCTTCAGAGAAATCTCGCTGGGCAAAACCCTTGGTCTTATAAACAGTAGCTGAGGGGACCAAGAAGGGCTATACTCTAGGGCCTAAGATCCCCATCCTCCTTCAACTCTTCATCCAGAACTCTTCCGAGCTCAGGGTCTCTGTGCCTTACCTGCTTTCTGGATGTGGGCGAGGTCGGCAGTGATGGGGGCTGTCTCGCTGAGCCCGCACTGGTTTTCAGCAAAGACTCGAAATGCATAGGAGTTGCCAGCGATGAGGTTGGAGACTGTGCAGCTGGTGCGGCGATAATGCTCTAGCACCGTGAACCACAGCTTGGGGGCCCCAAGAAGATGCCGTGAATGAGACACCCGTTTTGTGAACTCAAGCCACCTTAGCCCACCACGTGGAGCTACCAGAGCCCCATTCCAGAATATGCTATGGCTCCATCCCTCCCTCCTAGCTGGGCCTCACCCCAGATTTTGTGTCGGCCTTCTGCACCGTGTATCCCAGGAGTGCTGCATTGCCTGTGTCTCGGGGAGGTGTCCACTCCAGCGTAGCATTGGAGCCCGAAACATCCGTCAATTTGATACTCTGAGGAGGGCCAGGCCTCTCTGAAAGGGTCAAACAAGGCAGTGGGCATGGTACAACTCATACGCATGGAAATCACTTCAGAAATGCCCCTTCCCCTTCTCTGCTCAGCTACCCTTCCCTTCAGCTACCACTGTGTCCCATGCTCAGTGTGGGGAAGTCACCCTGGCTTCTCTAGCTCTCTGTGATGGCTTCTCTTCAGCCTGGAGAGGGAGCCCCTGAGGACCAACCCATCTTCTACTTCCCCCACTGTACCGATCACCAAGATGTCAATGGTGGCAGTGGCCTCCAGCCCACCCAGCTGCACACTGAGCTGATAGCGACCCGAATCAGCACGCTGGGCTTCTCGGATGAAGAGGATGGAGTCCCGCTCCCCATTCCGCACGCTCACACGACTGGCATCCAAGGCACAGCCATTATGTGTCCAAGTGGCTCGAGGTTTGGGTTTGCCCTGAGAAATGGGGATAAGGCTGTGAGCAGTCCCAGGAGGTCTCTTGACTCTCCACCCCAGTTCCACATGGTTACTTGACTCGCAGCTGCAAATTCATTGAGTTAGAGGTTGATGGACTCTCCCAGGGGACTTTTATCTTTCAGCAGCAGCCTATAGGATCATGGGGAAGGGGGATGGTTTTGAGTCTCCCACCCTTTGGGACTGTAGGTCAAGGATACCCAGGGCACTTGAGACTAATAATAGCTACCCAAACTCCTGAGAGCCCTCCCAACTGAGAGCTCCCAGATCTCTGCTGACTGAAGGGCATAGCCTCACCTCAACACACGAGGCCTGACCCGACCCACCCTCAGGGGTGCAGATGGAAGGGCCATTTGGTCTCAGACTTCTGGTCATGTGGCTCCCTCCATTCAAGGCCAGAATGACTGCTCGACTGTTAGCAGGACTCCTTGTATCTGCTGCCAAATCAAACCCTGTCCTGGTCCCAGAGATGGACCCAGCATGGGGCCGGCATGATCACCTGGAACGGGATTAGTAGGTTCACAATGTCTCCAACCTTCCGGATATAGGTCTGCCTTAGGGCCCGAGGTAGCCAGATCTTGGGGTTCTCTGAATGACAGAGAGAGAACAGGGTGGTGAGCCTCCTGTGGTGGAAAGAGTAGCACTCAGAGGGGGTGGGTACTGCATCCAGCTGTGCTGCGCGGGCAGGCGATCCAGGCGTCACAGTAAATGAAGTCCTCTCGTAGGAAATGGGAAGATTGCTCCCGTCATCTTGCTGGGATTTAGGGATGAGTGACTGGCTAAAGGATCCTCTAGAAAGCGTTAAAGTCTTGGCAGTAAGAGCACTAAAGTGTGAGCCTGACGCTTCTTTTCATTTAACTCTCAACTCCTGACTTTCCATTAACTGAGATTTATTTTTTTCTGTTTGTGCACAGACCAGTCCAGTCTGTGTGGTTTGTCTTTCCACTCGTTTTCTACTTTTGTCCTTAACAACACTCCTTTTACCAAGGCCACTTTCAATGTTAATCCAGACCTCCAAGTGTCAGCCCCGTTCCCCAGTTTGGTGCCAGATTGGAGGAGAAAGCTTTCCCTCCTGCAGGCAGAGTCAACATCCTGGCCGCACTAGGACAGCACTGATGTCATCGCAGAGGGAGCTGGTGTCTGAGTCCCTTCCTCTGCGTGGCTGCCCAGCTCAGCGCCTGGTAGTGTCCTTCCGGTTTGTGGAGGATCAGATCACTTTGTACAAACAGAATCTGGGAAAGACTAGGTCCGCTGCTCACTCTCCCTTGATCTCCCAGGCATGTTTCAGTGAGAAGAGAGATTAGATTATGTTTATCAGCTTCCAGGATGAAGGTGAGAGTTGCTCAGGAACGTGCTGAGTGTGAGGTTTGGAGAATGACCAGGTGTAATTTCTCTCCTCAGCCTCAGGCTGCCTTGGCCAAGAAAGTGCAAACATCCCACCTGGGGTCCCTTGGGCCCTGGCAGAAACTGATACCATGTTCCAACCTTCTTGCAGCTTCCCTCTCCTCCTTCTTAGTCTGAGACAGTCAGTCCCCTGCTGCTGTTGTCTTAAGTGGAATATGACAGTGCCTCAGTTCCCACCAACTCCGGGCTTCCCCCCAGTTCATTCCTAGCAGTTGCAAAGACTTCACCCCAGTACACAACTGCAGGAAACAGCAGAACTGCTTGATCGTGAATTCCAAACATTTTGATAATATCCATTTCCCTGTAAATATATTTCTGAGCATTCACCCCGATGTATGTATGTTTACTTATAAACTGAACTATTTAAATATGTACATTATATAATGGAAAATTTTGAATGGTGAAATTTGAAATAAACAGTGGTTCTGCTGTGTTCTTCCTATACCTCAAATTGTGACAATTTTTTAGAGACCAGGACTTCACGTCCATACATCCCCTCCTCCGTTATGATCTCACTCACTGTCACTTGGCCTTTGTAAATGAACATAAATACGAATATTCAGTGCACGCTGTCCATCTTATTTATCTAGTTTCCATTTTTGCTGTGTGGCTGATGTTTCCACCTGGATTGTGCTGTCTTCGACTGCACCTCACCCCTGCCCTGACAAAAGCAGGACACAGGGATACAGGGCCTCGAGTGCTCTGAGGGCCGCCCTGCCTGGGCTGCTCAGGGCCTGACCGCCTCAGTAAGAACGCGACCGCCTTGGAGCCCCAGGCGGCTGAATGACCCTGCTCTTCTTGCCCTCTGTTTGACTTTGGTGGTTTGGGAGGGGGCAGAGCATGAAGAACAGAGGAAGTGTTTGTGTGATGCATTCCTCTCCTGGGGCCATCTTGGCAAGCCACCAAGTAGTTGAGAACAGGCGGATATGACTTAAGAGTTTTCTGAAAAAAAGGAGGGCAGCAATTGAAAAGGAGGGTCAAAACCTCATCTTGTTGGGCTTGGTTCCCCATTGTTGGGTGGGGAGATCGCCCTTCACACTTGCTGAGGAGAAGCTGGGTCTGCTGTCCCTTGCTCTGCCTATAGAATATCCGAACTGTGAGGGGCCTTGATGAGCATTCACTACAGAAGACTGGAAAGAAAGGGCTCAGAGAGAGCAGCAGATGCGCTGAAGCCGTCATGGCCGTTGTGAAGTCGTGCTGGCACCAGGACTCCTGCCTGCTCCTCTAGGAATATGTCTGAGGGACCCATTCCCTGAGCATGGCGATCTGTTTACTCAGGGACTGGGTCCGCTTGGGACTGGGCACCATAGTCAGGCCTTGACCATGATAGTGTCCCTGGAGGGAGGCAGCAAAGAGAAACCCTCAAGAATTGCAAAGGCTGAGGTGAAGAAAGGAGCCAGGTTGTCGTGTCTGGAAGGTTGGCCAACTGAGCCCTGCGCTGCTTAGACCTCAGAAAGGAAATGGGCTTCTGGAGATTAGTGCATGCTGATGTAGGTATTTGTTCTCACTTAGTGTTTCTTTTTTGTTTCTTAGAAAAATGCCTTGGGAAATGTTAGCATTGTTTCACCTGAACTAAAGAGAAAAATTAAATAAGTTTACGTGTAACATAAACTAAGATGGGGGAATTAGAAGGATGAGCAGAATGGCCCTAAGACCCGGAGGGGACTCCAGTGGAGGCAGAGAGACAGGGACGAAAGGCTGACAGCTAGGATGGTGTTCTCTCCCTCCCTGGAGGGCTCCTGTCCCAGTTCTTGGCTTATGTGTGGAATTCCCTGACACGATGATGAATTGATAGGGGACAAACTTAAGTTACTAGAACGTTCTGACAGGATTAATAGGTGAGGATATGGCTTTCAGCAGGCTCCAGGCCCTGGTGGGAGGGCAGAGGATGGGCTTGCCGCCGACACAGTTGACAGTGTGCAGCAGGTGGCAGAAGAGTGTTTGACAGCTCTAGGTGTCCCAGGAGCAGCAAGCGCTTCCCCAGCTCAACCCAGGCCTGCCCAGCAAACAAGAGCAACCTGACCCTTTGCTGAGAATGTTAATAGGAGGGCTCGTTCCATTCGGGGCATCTCTTTTCACGCTTCCACAGTCCAGCGAGGTGTTAATTGTACTGACCTTGGGGAAACATGGCCTTCCCCTCCTCAGATGCAGGAGGGGTGTGAACCAAAGACTGGAGACCGAAAGCGGAACCTAGCTTTTCTAAGACCGGGTTTGAGAGCCACAGTTTGGTTTTATCCCTTCAGAGAGTCTTGGGGAAAAGACATTTTGAAAAGTCCTTTGAGAGCCCTCGACTTCTGAGCTGTATCTCCCTTAGCACTGTATTTCTCTCAGACTGTCGTCTAATTCTTTCTTAGAAATTAGTAGAGAAGGAGACTACTTAAAGCCCAAAGATCTCGACTCTTCTCGTTCGAAAATGCCTCCTGGTTCCACCCTATTTCATTCTGCTGAAGTTTATGCCCATTTTCTTATTCTATGCTCACGGGAAAAATTGTTCATATTCTCTCATAATTGCCTTTCACATGGTTAAAGATTTTCATCCAGCAGCTCGCTAAGGGCTGTGTCGTTCAGACGATGTTATTAATTGTGGCCTGGAGAGTGAAGAAACAAGATGGACACATCTGAAGAGTGAAGGGGGTGCGTGTGTGCACGCGTGTGTGAAGAGCATGAATGTGTGAAAGCGTCTGTGTGCATGTGAGTGTGTGTGTTTATGTGCATGTGTACATGCACACGCACAGAAGACTATGAGTACAGGCATGCGTGCGAGTGAATAGTTACCAGACGAGGATGAATGCACGAGGTGAGCTATGGCTTTGAAATGTAACCAGAGATTTCCAGGGATCCAAAAAGTACCAACATTTCTTAGGGAAACATTGGCAGATACCTAGGATGTGGCCTTGTCTGCGGGAGTGTGATGAGAGAGCAGTGTGGTGACCTCGGGAGCGCCTTGTGAAGGACAAAGTGTCATCTCCTTGAAGACCTTGAAACTAAAGTCAAAGAAATTAAAAGGACATAGAGATAGGCGACACTTCTCTGAGGAGACTCGTCACCCCTCCCCTCGCAGTAGTCTTCCCCTCGAGCCCTGGCTCACTGTCGCTCTCTCCAACATTGTTCCGGTCATGATTCCTGGTGATTTCAACACTGTCCTGCCAGTTCCTGCAGGGTGTCACATCTGTGCCCGCCTCTCCTCCAGTGATTTTGTTCCCCTCACCTTCAGTCTGGTTCTTTGCTCATTCTCTAGGCTAATAACCGCATTATTGCCCACCAAACTTGACATGATCTTTTCCATAGCATAGTTATCTGAGAAGTGCTGCCTCCCTGGCTGTCTGTCTGACCGTGAGACTAGTTCTGCCAGTGATATGTGAGTAAAAATGATCAGAATTACTCCTGAGCCAAGGCTTTTAAGAAATGAGTTCTCTATCCCTTCTTCCACTTCTGGTCGGCTGAGCCAGGCGCAGTGGGGACACCCCAGGTGAGTGTCGCAGAGCTGTTGGCTACCGAGATCCCAGCCAAGGACAGCTAGGGGTAGGCGGCATGGCTGCTAGTAGGGAAACTTGGGACTGGAAGGGGCATCCGCCACCTCCTAGTTGCAAAATGCCTCTTTGCCGAGAGGCTCACGGAGATCACCAGGGAGGAGAAGCCAGATGCTCCCACAGAAGGGTTCTGCTTCCATGGAGCTCAGAATGTGAGAGGACGGGACTTCCCACGGGAGCTGGGGGGTGTTGGGGTGGGCTCTGGAACCATGGCAC